GGCACAGCCATCGCGATTGCGCGGGCCCCTACCAGAAATTCGTGGTACATACTTAGAATACATATTCCTGTACCGTATAGATTTATAAGTTATTGTTGTTTCGATTGTTGACTTTGGATCAATTAACCCTTAATTGGTGTTGTGGGGTCTTACAGACCCCGTGATACATGAAATATGGGTCATAATTCGCCCACGTCAGTGAAGGGTTAAATTACAGTTTTGCTATGTTGAATATTTTGTTTAACCAAACATTGGCTCTAGTTTATGGTCGATTAAAATATTCTCTTGCCAAAAGGCAGTTACAAGCAACTTCTAAAAAACTGTGTTTTACGTTCCTCAGCTTTTTATATAACCTGCCTTAAGTTATATAATATCAGGAGTTTGATGCGCCATATTTTTTTAAACACAGCTTCGAAATATCAGGCGCGGATAGAAGAGAAATTCACTTAGGAGATCATGGATTTTAACGTTTGAAATTACATGGAAATCGTTGGAAATCAAAATATTGCGATAATGTTAAGGCCGCCTGTCGCTTGTTACCGAAATTTGTTGTTTATCGTATGGAATCAGAGGTAATCCATTCTTAAAGAAGGAAATCGTTTTTATTGATTTCCGAACGAATGGTCTCTCGATTGGACTCATACTTCGGATTACCGTAACGTAAAACGTATGATCGAACATGGATTATATTTTTGTCACTAGAATATTTAAATTAACCCCTGCGAGTGGTACTTTCGATTCGTGACCATTTCGGAGGGTGTCACGTGGGTGGCGACGTAGGGGAGGGGTGGGGGCGGGGGCGCCGAATAGTGGGGGGCTGTCTGGGGTTGAAATAGCGAAGCGTGCTCGGGGCTCCGGTGTTCAGTGCTCAGTCGCCGCGATGGAGCTGCGCGAGATGAGCGTCGCGACCGCAGACGAGACCGCGGAGCTCCTGCCGTCCCGGCGCGACGACAACGAGAGCTACTTCATCGAATACGCCATTCAGAAGGAGATTATTAACCGCAACCGATGCTCGGCCAGTCGGCGTCTCCTCCTCAGCCAGACCGCCGCTCAACTGGCGGACTATAACCTCGCGAACAGCAATCACCAGAAGGTGGTGTAGTCGTGCTTAGCTCCAGTCGCTGCTGTCGAGGCACCAATCTCGAGTCCTCGAGACGCAGCGATCGTTTTCGTGCTGATTGCTGTGCATTTTTTATTATCAATTTCAATATATTTTTAAACTAGTTACCGGGTCCAGGAATCCGACTGCAATATCGTTTTTGCTACTCAAGAGGAATTTTCTGTTGGCCTCGCATATCTCAGAATTGGCTTTAAAATAATCGGAAAAATCTTGAGACTTGGAAAACGGAATGGAACCTCTTGCTACTTTTGCCTGCTCGATCCCTTACTATCTGCTTGTTCTTTCGGAATATTTTTCCGGACCTCCTATGGCAGTTTATGTCGTATTTCGAATGGCAATGGAACGGAAGCGATAGCGTTTGAAGTTGTGTTTATTCGGTTCTGGAGGTTAGGTTAGAGCACGTGGGTCTTTGCTAATTTTTCGCGGTGGCTGCTCGGAGGCTGTGCAGTATTGTGTTACAGCTCTCGCGAAATGGAGGGGACATGGGGTATTCGGGCACTCGGCCAATCAGCTGATCGTTCGAATTCACCGCTTATCGTGGTATAGAAATATTCACGTGGGTTTTGACTGATTCTTTTGCCGCTGCTGCTCAGCAGAGGCTCTCGTACTTTGCTACAGTTTTTGAGGATCGGAGGGAATGTGGAAGTGCTCGGGCACTTGGCCGATCAGCTGATCGCTTGCCTCCACTACTGCGTCGAGGGATTGAAATATTCACGTTTCACGGATCACGTTTACTTATTGACCGAACTTTCGTGATTGTCACGCCTGATAGAGCTGTGATGTGCATTTGCCGCGGTCGCCGATAAATGTAATTAAGCATGGCTTCCGATGCAGGAAGCTAATTAGTAACTAATATTTATAGAAAATAATTAACCCTTGACGTAACGTTAATATTAAGGGCTACGGCACAACCATTTGTTCGTTATTTAAATACAATCCCCACTCGTGAAGTTGAATAATTATTTTTGCGACGATTTGCTTATAATTAATAACGATATCGTATTTTTTTATTATACTTAGCATTATTTAAATCTCCTTTTAAAAAACAGAAACACCGGAAGGAACGTTAATTAGTACAGTTTGACTGTTTAACAGCTTGAAAATCCTAGGATTTAAGCTGGAGAGTCGCGGTGTGGTGTTTTATTTGTTAAATTTTCTAATGATTTAGTAAGAGAGAGTAGCTTGGCTTGCAACTTTTGTTCAGTGCTCGAGAATGGGGGATTGTACGGCTTACTTTTTTTGTTTCTTTTTTAATTCCTTAGGACTCGCCAATTATTAGCATCATCCATCCTTCTGGCCCTAACTGGCCACCCTCGAGGAAAAGGGAAGAAGCTAGAGCCCTCGAGAATTTGAGGAAGAGGGTCGAACAGTCCAAGCTCTGCAAAGTGAATCCGATCTCGGATCCTGGAGGATCTTCTTCGGCAATGATGAATACTGCTCAACTTCAGCAACTGGACAACCGACCGAAACTCCTGAAGAAGGTAAAAATCATTGCATGAGCTACTAAAACCAAAATTTTCCTCTACATGAAGCAACAAAGGTACTGCATTAACCACGTGGAGCAGCTAAATTACCGCAACGTCTTATAACAGTTTTCCCCTGTTAAAAAAGTGATCCCTCTTTTAATGCAGCATTTGGTCAGTCAAGTATCCGTATTTTTGGCGAGAATTTGGACAATCTTGGAGTTATCGGCCTTTAATTACAGATTACGTTAAGCTACATTAAGCTTCGCCAGAAAAATCAAATAAGAGTTAAAAAAATATCGAGATATGGATTTGTGAATTCAGAGATACATGACGTGGTAGAGGTTTAGGAGCTTCACTTTCAACACGCGTGGCGGTTGGATTTTTTAATATTCATATGTGCATCTCATAACTATAGAGGGTACCGCAAACCAGTCAGTATTTGTTGTTTCAATGCCTGGAAATTGGTATCAATATTTATTGGTGTGATGTTAGGGTAATGGAATGGGTGCGTATCATTTGCAATGGCGATTGCGCCAAAAGTTTCTTGCAGCACACGTACGTAAACACACGTGTGATAATGGTTTAATCGCTCGTTGTTACCTTCTGGAATTCCCTCGCGAACTGTTTCGTCGTACGTGACGGCTATCAGTCGCTTGGCTTGCCTCGGTTTGCAATTATATTTACTTACCCTTAATAGATGGTTACACCGTTCTCCCGTTTAGTCGGAAATGGTGGAAAATGGTTTACCGTAAGCAGTTTATAGGGTGATTTAGTAATAGTCGGAGGGAGTTTCCACGATTTTGCTCTCACGTAAATAAATGGAATGGCGAGCATAACTGCTAGTATATGAGCGCAAGAAAAATGGCACATGTAATGGCACTTTCTGTGCACCTATTCTGCATTGATGGCATCAAGAGCGCATCCCAGTCGCACTGAAACGAAGGGAAGTACTAAAAAGCAAGAAGTTAAATGAAAAAAAAAAAATTGCTGAGGATCGCCTTACCTCGTTTATACATTTATGGAGTCGTCCTAACAGTTGTTGAGATACCTGGAAAATAAAGAAATGGTTGTAGTCAATAATGACCATGTGTATATGTTACCGTGAATGACCGAAATTGGAGAATGTCGACTTTCACCGGTGAATGTCAACAGATACCAAATACGTCGGTGAAAGATCGAATATTTCATTACATTGTTGTACATTCGGACCCTCTTCAGTGTGTGTCGACAATCACACACCGGTGAATGTCAACATTTACCGGTGTAAGTCAGAAATAAGGGTATTTAGCAAATATTTCGGACATACACTAAGCGACTATGTGAATGTTGACATTCACCAGTGAAAGTCGACATTCTCCAGATTTCGGTGTTTCACTGTAACATATACACATGATTTCTTCGTTTGTTGTAAACCTTACAATTCTAGATATTTATGTATGGTACCTTTTGTGCATTCATTTTCGAAATTTAACCTATTTTTTTTTTTAAGCATGGCATTTTTACCTTGCTTCGTAATTTTACCGTAGGATGACTCTTTAAAGCGACCAAGTGATATCCACCTCGAAAGCGCACTTGACTCGAAACTCTGCCGAGTTTCTGGAACTAGAACGATAAACGTGTGAAATTAACAACGTCTAATTAGTCAGATATGATGCGTAGAAAGGGAAAAATTAAGACGTGGGCCGGGTTTCCCGATTTTTCTCGCGGAATTACGATTTTCGGCGAGAGACGGTAAGAAGAGGGAATCCCTCTTTGGGATTACTTCATCTATCTTGCGGGTTCATTTTTCCTAATATCACGTCGACTGTCCCATTCTTCAGGTTACTTTCTTTTTAACTGCTAGCAGACAATCGATTATTAAATTTCCTCAATAAAGTCCGGCTCTCGATTTTTCGCGAGACGTCCTACTTCCTCGTCGGGGACCCTGGCGAATCTAAGAGGACGCAATTTCCTGATAGTATATCTCCTTTGACAGAGGATGCGTCCCTTGATTTCTCGTCGAAAGAACGGAATCCACCCTCGGAACGTCTGTTTGTCGTCTTCCGTCAAGCGCGACGAGACGCGGAAAGCGCTGATGCGCTTTTGGATGCATTTGCTCTGTACCTACCGATCGATGCGTATTCACCGACCCGAAGGGTAAATAAATCGATGATCGATTCGTCGACGCTGCACCAATTGCACCATTGAATTTATAGAAATACAAGAGAAGGTGTTGAAAATATATTGTAATTTTGTAACATTTTTATTCAAACACTGTGTACTAATTTTCCAAGATATTTTGAAACACGTGTACATGTATTATAAATGTAGTACGCGAGCGTGTTGATTTTCCTGCACGATTTCAGGGAATTATGACCTGATGTTGGAGAAATTTTGCGTTCCTCGGTTAGCAAACATGGGTACGTTTCGGAAGCGCGCCATGATTGGTTCATTTAGTTTCTGTAAATTTTATAAACGAAAGATCCCACTTTGTGACTAATCTCTGTACACTTGAGTACGTTCACACGGTATATCAATGTCCTCTGAATTTTTAAAAGATCTATGGGCTACGCTTGAATTTTTCGAGTTTCGTCAGCGATCGTACGTCCGAAATTGAGAATTTTTTCTCTATACGTTTCATTGTTTTTTTTTTCTCAGTCGTAGCGAATCCTCGTGGGTATTTTTGCTCACTTTTCCCCCCCTTGATTCGGGGGGAGATTAAATCGACGGAGGAACAAATGACGGTTCTCGATTTTACTTCTTTGGCAGGGCGCCTTTCAATTTCGGTCCAACTTTTTCGCCCTGACCTAACCTAACCGGATAAATTACCGCGACCGAATCCGAGGACTTCGTGAGCATGCCCCCGTGAGATACGCCTCGAATAAATTGAATTTTCGCGATTACCCTCGGCAGAACCCGAGTAAAGCGAGGAACTTTTAGAGCCGGCATGCGCATCCGGCCGACAAATCGAAATAGCTTCTCGGACCAGCGCATTTGTTTCCCGCCGAAGAATCTTGCCGGGCTGACGCCCGCGATTTGTTAAACCGAGCCTCGCGGCCGAGAGTTTCTCAAGTGACGAGCTACGGTGACACCGGGAAATGCGGGTTGTACTTCGATGATGACACCTTCATCGGGGATGGTCAGAAAGCTCTGTAGAGTTCCGCGTCAAATATATTTAGAAGCCTGCGCCAACGGCACCGAATACTTAACGCCAAAATTCGGCACAATTCGAAAATGTTCTTTATTAAAAGTCTCATCGACAGACATTTTTTTTTCAAAGACGAGCTCACACTCCGAACGACTTTCAAGGGCAGCATGGTCTTCTTTTTTTTTTCTTTTTGCTAATCGTGGAGGGTCGGTATTCAGTGCAAGAATGTAAAATGGTAGAGTTCGCCATGAAAGAGGAGGTCGACAGTTTGGCGCATCGAGCAGCGTCAGGATATGGAAGTGCTCGAGGAATCGGGGCGTTTAATATTCGCGACGGAGTCCCTCAAATGGAAGCACGTGGGCGGCCTCGTTTTTTTCCTCTCTTTTCCTCCCTTTTCCCTTCCTTCATTGGCTTCCTCCGTCTTCCTCAAAGGCGGCCTCGACCCGTTGTAACCGAGAACAAGGTCAGGGCGAGAGCTTCGGCGAAATAAACCCCTCGTCGATCGGTGTTACTCCGCGCGATCGACGACGCGGAATCGGCGCGTTTCCGCACCGCGATGCGGAAACGCACACGCCTCGCCCACGCCCTATCACCCGGCGTGGTGGTCTGATAAGTTATGGGCATAACTTACGGGAAGAGCCTGAATCGGGAACGTGGGCGAAATTGCTCCAGCAATTCGACCGCGGGAACGCGCTCCACGTGCTTTAGGAATTTTAGCTCGTTCGACATTTTTCCTTGGGAAAAGTTCATTTTTCAATGGGCATGTCTCGGTGGGACGAATTTTGAGATAGACTATAGGCAGAAGAAAACTGTACGACAGGGAATTCTAATCGTTATGACCGTTCATTATCGTGGGACGAATTTTGAGATAGACTGCAGGCGAGGCAGAAAAATGCATTACAGCGAATTCTAATCGTTATGACCGATCGTTATCGTGGGACGAATTTTGAGATAGACTGCAGGGGAGGCAGAAAAATGCATTACAGCAAATTCTAATCGTTATGACAGTTCGTTATCATGGGACGAGTTTTTGACATGGACCACAGGGGGTCAAAAATAATGCACTGCAGCGGGGTAATCAGGGGGCGAAAGTTGCTCGCGAATTCAGCGGTGCAGCGGAGCGCCGAGTGAAGGCTCGAGAGATCCGACTCCTGGCACACTCGTACCGAACTAGTTCCGGACAAACGAGCGACACGAGTGCGTTCGCGAGTTTACGCCCAGCAAGAACGTAATTTACGGGTTTACGAGAGACTGCCAGGAATTTTAGCCAACGCCGTTTCCACGCCCTCTCAAAACTTCACCACTGACCCATCGCGCGGTTCGCTAAGTTTCCGGCATCTTGTCTGAAACGCGTTGTTTTAATAAAAAAGGAACAAAAATAATAATAAAAAGAGAAGAAAACCAGGAACTCGGTGTGCCGAGTGACTGCGAGAATTTCTGAATCATATTTTTATAACGCACTATACCTCTTAAAACAGTGCACATGCACAATCATGTCGAATGTAAGGGGATTTAAATCACTACTCAGGGTACTATTTCAATCCCAGGGAAAATGTTAAAACTGCATTTTCATTCAATTAATAATATTTATATTAGGGGATTTACAGGACCACTCAGGGATTTAAATCCCGATGAAAAGTTCAAATGTGTGTCCTCGGATAGTTGCAACGAGTAATCGTTGATATTTAATTTCCCCAGACTGAAATCTGCTTGTACGTGGATTGGCAGTTAAATGCTTTCTGAAATATTTGATGCACACGAGCGTGCAGGAGAAAAAGATGCTAAAGAGATAATTTCCTATTCGGGATCCCATCGTGGTTCGAAATTGCTTCGACTTTGAAATTGTCTTCGGGGGGGCGATAAATATTTCAACGGGGACACTTTTTAC